GTTAGAAGTGAATTCGTAAAGGCAACAGGTAATCGTCATCCACTAGAAAGTAGGGGATGGAAGTAGGTATTCGGACGAGATCTTGAGGCGAGAACAATAATTCCCCAAATAAACTTGCAGAAATTAACTCAATTAAACTTCCAGATAGTTTAACCATAATGTAACAGATGTTGCAGATAATCCAGATAAAGTCCCAGATAATCTTACTGGTATTTTGTCATTTAAAGTTCCAGATAAAAGTCGCGATTAAACTTCTAGACAGTTTCAAGCTTATGTGAGTGATGAGTTGTAATTCCTGATAAAGTCTCATAATAAATGCGAGATAAAGTCCCAGTTAAAGTTCAAGGTTAAAATCTCAGATCAAATCCCGATAAAGTCCACGATAATGTTTAAGGTAAAGTCCTTGATTATATCGTAGGTATAAAGTCAGAAGTAAACTCCCAGAAGCTCTACGTTATATTTTTAGATAAAGTGCCGGTGAATGTTTCGGATAGAGTTTTAGATAAATTTCCAGTTGAAATTCCAGATAAAGTAGGGTTTCAGGTACAATTTTCGATACGTTCTTAGTGGAAAGTTTTAAGATAAAATCCGAGCTAAAGCCCCGCATACAGTTTAACATAAAGCACCAGTTAAAATGTTGGGGTCCCAGATTAAATTACAAACAAAGGCTCAAGTAAAATTCTAGATACAATCTCTAATATCTGGATTAGAGCTCTAGATAAAGTCCCATAGACACGTAGCCCTAGATGATACTCTAGGTAAGGTTTTAGATAACTTTTCAGATGTAGTTCGAGATAAAATACCGCATCCAAATTCCCACTTAAAGTTGTGGGTAAAATCCCTGGTATAGTCCTAGTTAAAATGTCTGATAAAGTTCCAGATAATCACAGGTCAACATGCAGATACAGTCCCAGAAGAGATTTCAGATAGAGTCCTAGATAAACTTGCAGCTATACTCATAGTTGAAGTTCTAAACGGAGCACTAGATAAACTTGCAGATAAATACGTTAAAAACGATCATAGATGACGTTCCAGATAAATTTCGCGACAAAATTCAGGACAGCGGTACAGATAAAGTCCGACGAAGTCCTACACAAAGTTGTAGGTTAGTTATAAGTAGACGTATGGACAGATAAAGTTCCATATTAAAATCCCAGATGAAGTACCGAAAAAGTTCCAGTTAAAGTTCTAGATAAATTTCTAGTTAATGTTCTAAGTAAAGTCCCCAGGTAGGTACATACCAATTAAAGTGTTTCGATAATGTCACGGATACAGTTAATGGTTAAAAGTTCCAGATAAGGTCTCAGTTAAAGTTCCAAATAAACTCTCCTTTAACATTCCATAGAGTTTCAGATTTATGTGACTAAAGTTTCAGATAATACTCCTGATAAGGTACCCGATAAAGTTCCCGATTCAGTACCATATAAACCTTAAAGTAAAGTTCAAGATAAAATCTCACGTAAAAGTACAGATGAAGAACTAGATAACATCCTAGGTAATTAACAGGTTGACTGCCAGAGTGGTCGTGTACGCCCGCTAACAAATTATCCTGGTATGCCGCGGCAGTCGTATACGCCCGCTGGAACCTAATAGTATATAGTCATTTTTCACATGCCAGCGGTCTTACTTGAAATGGATTGTTGTGTGACTTACCGCCGCTGTGGCATGGCTGACTGTCAAGGTAGCACCAATTTTTTGATAGCTTTTATAGTACCCATAAAAATTAATGTCAAAGTTTTTATTACAAAAAATGAAAAATCAAACAATTTACAAAATAAATTGAAGAAGAAAATAAGAAAACATCCTTGTTTAAATAAAATAATGAGCGTATTTGTATTCAATGTGCTGCATTGAAACAGTCCAAACACATATGTGGTTGATCTTCGCATTCATTACAATACGTTACGACTTTTTTTACTCGTGTTTTGAGTATTTCGCCCCGAATCTTTTTTCCATAGCACCCTTTGCAATACTTTCTAACCATTTATCATTGCATTAAGGACGACCGCCGACACGACCGCTTGGCAAAAGTGGATTACTTATGCCTTCCTTGCCCGGGCGGTCGCATACGACCGCTCACTTAATTTTAAAAAAAAATAGTACTAATTTCAAAAATTAGGGTAAATGTCAAGCAAGGCTGCATTTATTTCACTATCAGACGCTTTAATTCACCCTTGGCGCCAGGGAACATTTTTTCTGTTTTAATGGTGGCAGTCAACCTGTTAAAAAATAGACACAAGGTCCCAGATGAATTTCAATATAAATTCCTGATTAAAGCTCTAGATAAACTCCCAACTATTTTCACATAGCCCCATATAAAGGTGTAGATAAAGTTCCAGAAAGTTGTCTAGCTAAAGTATCACATAAAGTTCAAAGTTCAAGTTAATATATCAGATTTCAGATAAAGTCCCCGGCGAAGTTCCAAATAAGGTCTCAGATAAATTCCCAGATGAACTCGCAGATAGTGTCTCAGATATAGTTCTAGATCATCCCAGATAAGAGTTACAGATAAAATTCGAGATGAAGTTCTACATAAAATCCTAGATAATATCCCAAGTAAGGTCGTAATTAGACTTATAGACAAAGCTGCAGATAAGGTTCCAGATAAACTTCCATATTAAAATCCTAGATGAAGTCCCAAAAACCGTGTCTGATAAAGTTCTAGATAAGTAAAGCTCCAGATGAAGACCTACCGATTAAAGCTCCATATAAACTTACAGATAAAGTCCTACATGGGGTTTGGGATAAAGTCCCAGATAAACTTGCAGTCCCAGAAATGACCAGATGGATTTCCAGATAAATTCCCATTTAGTACCACAGATAAATCGCTGATAAAGTGTCTGATAAAGTCCTCATTAAAATTCTGGATAGTCACCGAGGGTTGAAAGTTCAAGTTAAAATCCAAATTCCAAATAAAGTGCCGGAAGTAATGTCTGAGATGAACTTGCAGATAGTGTCTTAGATAAACTCCATTTAAAGTTAGGTAAAGCACTTGACATAGTCCCAGTTAAAATTTTTCATATCGCAGATAACGTTCCAGATCAACTTGCAGAAGTCTCAAACGATTTTGCACTTAAATTCCTAATTAAAATTTCAGGTAAAATCCTAGTAAAGTGTCTGATAAAGTTCAATATTAAGTCCTTAATAAATTTCCAGATAGTCACGGATAATGTTCCGCATAAATTTACAGATAAAGTCCCAGATATTCACTCACTTGTGGGTTAAATCTCAGTTAAAGTTCCACATAAAGTCTCAATTAAACGTGTGACTAAAGTGGCGGACAATATTCCACATAAAGCTCTTGATAAAGTCCCAGATAAACTTTAAATCTAGAAAAAGTTCAAGATAAAATCCCAGGTAAAGTTCCAGATCACGTATCGGATAAAGTTCCAAATAAAGTCACGGGTAATCTTGCTGGTATTGTCTTAGTTAAAGTTCCAGATAATGTCTCAATCAAACTTCCAGGTAGTTTCATGCTTATGTGAGTGGTGAGTTGCAAATAATGCTCCTGATAAAGTCCCAACTAAAGACCTAGATAAACTTCAGAATGAAGTTCCCTATAAAATGCGAGATAAAGTCCCAGTTAAAGTTTAAGCTAAAATTTCAGATCAAGTTCGCGGTCAACTTGTTCCAGATAAACTCTGATTTAAAATTGTAATTAAAATTTCTGATATGCCTCAGATACTGTTCCAGATATTCCCAGATAATCTTGCAAATAGAGTTCAGATACAGCACTATATAAACTTGCAGTTAAAGTCCCAGATATAGGCCCAAATAACCTTGCAAAGTTCGATATCAGATAACGTCCCAGGTAAAGTTTTATATAACGTACAAAAAAGTTCCACATAACGTGATAGATACCTTTCCGTAAAAGTCCCAGATAAACTTCCAGATAAGATCGCAGATAAAGTGTCATATGAACTTGCAGAGAGTGTCCCAGATAAACTATTAATAAAGTTCTTGATAAAATCCGTGATATAATCCCAGTTAAGGTTTCTGATAAAAGTTTCAGATAACGCACCAGATAAGGTCTTATGTATATCCCGAAATAAAAGCATCCCAGATTAAGTTTCTCAGTAAATTTCCAGATGGTCATCGATATAGCTTCGGATAAGATCACAGATAAAGTTCCCGATGAAGTTACGGATACAGTTGTGTTAAGTTCCAAATAAAGCCTCGACTATTTAACTCCTGCTTTCCTTTGCTCTTCCACCTCCTTGCATTCCCATAGCATGTACCCTATATCCTCCCCTTCCTCTCCTCAGATTCTACTATTCTTTTCCCCACTTCTCCTCTCTCTTCTTATTGCCGCATCTCAACCTTCTTTGTACCTACTGTTTCCTCGCGATGATAATCCAAGCAGTGCCCGGGTGAACTTCCAGATAAACTTCCAGATAGATTCGCATAGCTCTAGATAAAGTTTCTAGGTGAGGTTCCAGTACCCACATAGGGTTTCAGGTACGATTCCTGATATGTTTCTAGAGAAATTTCATGACCACATCCTAGATAAAGGTTCAAGTAAATTTTAAGATACGACAGTTCCGATTAAAGATCTAGATAAGATCCCAGATAGTTTCATATGGCACTAGATAAAAATGTAGGTAAAATTTCCGATGGCTTTCGAGATACAACACCACATAGGGTTGCAGGTATAAGTCATGATACTTTCCCATAGAATGTTCAAAATAAAATCCCAGATAAAGTTCCAAATATCATCGGGGTCCTCACGGGGCACTGGGATGGTAGAGGAGCCTACGTGCAGGTTCTGTGACATAGAGTCTATCACTGTGGCGCCTTGATCAGAGATAGCCATCAGCTGTTTGATGTCAGTTATATGGAACCGAAGGCTAAACAAGCTCCTAGTATAATCGGTGTGCCTATTTGGGCTTCTCTTGTGAATGAAATAGAATAGAATCCTGAAGAGTTGTATAAAATATAATTTAATGCATATAAGGCGTACAAAAAGAATAAAATTAAACTCGGGTTTGGGTTAATTAGCGCTAGTACCTATATCCCTGATGATGGGCGTCATAATGCTGAGCGTTGTATTGGTGGTGGTGGTGGTCTCCTCGGTACTGTCCATCATCAACGTGTCCGCGCGCCTCTTCCGCGAGATTTTGCTCGATCGACCTCAGGATCGCTTCCGGAATTGGCGGCGGGGTCGGGAGATGGGCGCCACTCGGCTGAAAACCGTTCTCATCGGCAACGTAGGTGAGCGAAATGTGTTGACCTTCTGGTGAGGTGTACGCGAAGGATCCGTGCGCTTCCAAACTGTCTGGGCCCTTCAAGCGTCCCTGCTCTTGGGCGGCGATACCGTTCGCGGTCTCGTAGTTGAAGGCGTATTGTCCGTCACCTTCGTTGCGGTTGTCGTAGCGAAGAATTGGGACATGGGGTCCCGCGTTGTACGCTCCGGCGAAGGGCGCGGGTCCGGCGAAAGGTACCGGATTTACCTTTGCGAAGGGAGCGCCCGGGAGGCGCCCTGATGGGAAAGGTCCATGAGCACCAGGCACGCTTGGTGGAAGGTAGACATTATCCAAACGCCCACAGGTGGCAATTCCACAAAAGGCTAGCAACACTGCGACCTGCAATAATAAATCAATTACACGATTAATTGCACGTTAGGTACTTTCTTACAGTAAACATATTGTTGTAATGAAACGATTCCTTCGAATGATGATCTGGAGCAAAGCGCGTGTTTTTATACATAAAAACTCCCCTCTGTAGAAACGATCCAAATCGTTTTGGAAGGTGCAAAATTAGATCAACAATAGAGCAAGGCCGCGAAGACTAGGAGATGATCGCCTTAATAATTTTTATTTCAAAACACCTCTAAATGGCAATGACAGCAATTTCTTTACCTTCCCAATTTTACTTTCTTAATAAACAATAATGTAATTTTCCTTAAAAAAAGTGACGAAACCGTTCAAGAATGCACTTCTTAAGTTCACACACAGGCCAATTACATAATCTCTTCCAAATGCAGAGATTGTGATTAATTAGTACAAAATATTCGCGTTACGGAAGGTGGTTGTAATGTAAGCATAAGAATGTGGGAAAATGCGCCCCAATTACCGAATCGTTATGAAAATTGAAAGAAGATATACGATATAATTACGGACTGATGCATTTTAAAACGCAATAGCGGCGATAAATAATTTTGCAACTCTCACGCCTCGAGCCTACTCCGGTGCAGTTTTAATGGCCAACCCTGATCATTATAACAAAAAGATCTAATTTTATTGCTTGTAAAATTCACCTCCGAAACATGACTTCATTATTAAACGTGGGCGGAAGACACGTTCGAAGAGATGCGTGTTTGGTTGTTACGGATATTGGTGGTGGTCAAGCTTCAAGAGAAAGGTTGGAGACAATTTGTTAGACCTTTTACTTTTCATCTGAATCGTCGTGCAAAATCTAGGTAAACTAGGAAACTGAGTTCAAGTTCCTCCCATGTGGCTCTCACAAAATTCTTTATCTCAGTGTCTCATAAGATCCCCTCAATTTCCTCTCAGGGTTCTGTCAAGTTTTTGTCAAATTCATAGTTCTTCTGGTTACCTTCAATTTAATCTAGAGAACTCCTCAAATACCTCCCAAATTTCTCTCACGTTCACTTCAAGTTCTCCTCAAAGTCAGCACACGCTTCAACCAAATTCCAGTCTCCATCAAGGCCTCGTAAAGTCGAAGTTTTGAGGTAATATTTCGACAATTGATAATTTGGTGTTTCGAAGTTGTGGGGTGAAATGTTGAGTTATAACTCGAAATTGTAAGATCCCCTCCACTAATTCTTTGGGAGCCTTTAATTGATGTTTGGAACCCTTAAAAAATTCTATAGTTTAAAATTGTTTTGTCTTGCTGTTAGAGGCTTTTTGATCCTTAAAAATCTGTAGAAGCATTCACTACTTGAGCCCCAAAAAAGTTCCCTTAAGATTTTCTCCGTCTTTTATATATGAACTTTCGAGTATTCATAAGGAATTTAGAGCATATTGAGGAACTTTCTCACGGTCCGTGTTTGTGAAAGTATTTAAAATGATTTAAAGGGCATTAGGCTCTTCTTCGTGGGTCTCCAAGTCATGTCTCTAAGAGATATCAAAAGCCTTCTAGAGGCGTTCAGTGCCTTCAGTTCCCTTTAAAAATATGAAGTGTCTTTGAAGGTTCTAACTTTAAGAGTCGTTAGGAGTTCCTAAAGGACTTTACAACCTTTTATAGTCATCGTAAGCGCATTCAAAAATGCAAATGGCCTTCAAGCCTTTTTAAAGACCTCAAAAGGAGGGTCCTTATGATTGCCCCTCTTCCTAAGCCAAGTCTTTGAAAGGATTTGCGCTGTGAGTGCTTCATTAAAAGGGTGTGTTTATAAAACATGTTTTCATGGTTTCAAAACGAACAAGAGTTAATTTTAGGTCTTTAGAATTGTTAGTCTTTATGAATCTTTAACAGTATTTAATGAACCAGATAGGAGCTTTTAGACCGTCAATAGGTTTCAAGAGTGTTCAACAGCCTTAAATAGTTTTCCAGGGTCATAAGGTAGAACCTTTTAGAGTATCTTTGAGACTTCCGGGTTAATTATCCCGTGGTATCCTTAATAGCCTGTACTAGAATAATCTAATAACCTCAATATAAGAGTTGGAAAGTTGGTGGTGGTTTAATTGGTCAGGCTTGAACGATGACAATTTTTGGCCTTTTTGCATTTCGTATAAATAGAAAATATTAAAGTTTATGCAAAACCTAAGCAGGATAGGGAAGTTTGAGTTCATGTCAGCTTCCTCAAATTGCCGGCTCGTGTGGCGCAGTTTGCCGACCCGTGTGGCGCAGTTGCCGGGCCGTGTGGCGCAGTTCAGTTAAAGCTTGAACTGTGGTGCTAAGGGTCCCTAGTTCGAATCCTGGTTCGGGCATGTATATTTATTTATTTATTTATTTATTTATTTATTTATTTATTTATTTATTTATTTATTTATTTATTTATTTATTTATTTATTTATTTATTTATTTATTATCCTTCTCTTGTTCTGGGCCCTCAACAGGCTCGCGCCCAATTACAGAGTGACCCGCATAATGCTTTTTAGAGGAGCCTTTGCAGAAGGTCTTAAGTTGTTCTATACTACTCCGGTATTTACCTTAAGAATTAGGAAAACTGCAGGAAAACCTAATTCGGCGTAGCCGGCAGAATGCTCGCAACTGGTCTAAGGTAATTCCCATCTCTCCCATAGATGAAAAATTCACCTCAACCTAGGTTCGAACACCCGACCTCCGGATTTATAGTCCAACGCTCTACCACTGGGTTAGGTTGGTAGAGCAGCCTTGGCTGAAACCCCACCCACTCAAAAATAAAGGCAAAATAAAAAAAATAATAATAATAAAAATTTGTCACGTTAGTTCCATTGTCATTTCCAAAAAACCACCATAAGAAACCGGGCGTTATAGGGAAGGTAGTCTCGGGTATAATTTTCCAGAAATCATCATCGAATTTTACTTAGCTGGGGGTACAACTGGGAAGAATTCCATCTCGCCCCATATTCCCTTCCAGAAAATGGTTTGCCGTAAGGGGTCTCAGGATGGTTATTGTGAAAAAATGACCAATATCCTCTTCTCCTAATAAGTACTGCGGAGAATGTAGAGTACTAAGGGGTTATAGGGAATAGAGTTTTTCTTTGCTGGTTGGTTTTTAACTCTTGTCGCTTTTAATACGACTTTCCAGAAACCTTCCCAAAAGTATACTGTAATGTAGGGTATTGGTTGGGGGTTATTAGACCCCTCGGTAAAATGTTCTTCCACAAAACGTTTAGCGTTGCTGGGTCTCATGATGGTTCTTGTGAAAAAAGATCATATCCTGTTCTCCAAAGTACGGCAGAGAATGAGCACAGGAGAATCTTGGGGTATGGAATACCCCCCAGTACACGCGCTAGTTATATTGCAATTCCCAATGAAGTACCATGAAAGTACCGGGGGTTTATAGGGAGAATGTTAGTATTTCTTTGCTGAGTGGTTTTTAACCCTCGTCGCATTTAATTGTATAAGTATCCAGGAATCTTCATCCAATTTTAATTTACCGGAGTATATCTGGGAGAGAAGGTGTTATCGAGTATTCTCTTCTGGGTGGTTTTTAACCTTCGCCGCTTTTAATGTAATTTTCCAGAAATGGTCTTGGAATTATACTTTAATGGGAGTATTGTCTGGAGAGCCTTTCACCCCCAGACTCCCTGGTAACATTTCCTTCCACAGAACTGATAGCTTGGAGGGGTTTAGTGATGGTTAAAAAATCGCTATATCTTTCGCCAGACGAGTACGATTTCCAATTTTTTGGGTGATTTAGATTCTATAGGTCAAAATCTAAAAGAATTGCCCATATACGTTAAGATCCCTTTAGGTCATCAAAAAATATTGGTGGAAAACTGTATTGTAATGCAAGAAAATCCACAAAAATCGCTATATCTTTCGCCAGACGAGTACGATATCCAATTTTTTGGACGATTTAGATTCTATAGGTCAAATCTAAAAGAATTGACCATATACGTTAAGATCCCTTTAGGTCATGAAAAAATATTGGTTGGAAAACTGCATTGTAATGAAAGAAAAACCACAAAAATCGCTATATCTTTCGCCAGACGAGTACCATATATCCAATTTTTTGGACGATTTAGATTCTATAGGTCAAAATCTAAAAGAATTGATGATATACGTTAAGATCCCTTTAGGTCATGAAAAAATATTGGTGGAAAACTGTATTGTAATGAAAGGAAAACCACAAAAATCGCTATATCTTTCGCCAGACGAGTGCGATTCCCAATTTTTTGGGCGATTTAGATTCTATAGGTCAAATCTAAAAGAATTGACGATATACGTTAAGATCCCTTTAGGTCATGAAAAAATATTGGTTGGAAAACTGTATTGTAATGAAAGAAAAACCACAAAAATCGCTATATCTTTCGCCAGACGAGTACCATATATCCAATTTTTTGGACGATTTAGATTCTATAGGTCAAAATCTAAAAGAATTGATGATATACGTTAAGATCCCTTTAGGTCATGAAAAAATATTGGTGGAAAACTGTATTGTAATGAAAGAAAAACCACAAAAATCGCTATATCTTTCGCCAGACGAGTACCATATATCCAATTTTTTGGACGATTTAGATTCTATAGGTCAAAATCTAAAAGAATTGATGATATACGTTAAGATCCCTTTAGGTCATGAAAAAATATTGGTTGGAAAACTGTATTGTAATGAAAGAAAAACCACAAAAATCGCTATATCTTTAGCTAGACTAGTATGATTTTCAATTTTTTGGGCTATTTCGATTCTATAGGTCAAAATCTAAAAGAATTGCCGATATACGTTAACATCGCTTCAGCTCATGGGAAAATATTGGTGTGAAGAAAAGCCACAATCAAGTTGCGCGCATTTTTTACTTATACATGGCTTTCCCACTAATTATTGTTTTTTATTGTTTGCATTTAAATTACTCAAGATCCCGAGCGCTAATATAGATACAAGGTGTCAGTGTTTGATTTGTGCGAATCCTCCGATAACTGGTGTACTTAAGGCTGCGAATTTTATTGACGGACCCTGCCAGGTTATTTCTTATAACAAACTCCATAAATAAGCGGTCTCTGTTTAGTTATTAATGAGAGTATTGATTAGAAATAAA